CCTGGCCTGGGCGGTTGCACCTCCCACAGCAATCAGGGTCCGAATGGGTTGATCCATTCGGCCTAATTTGGGTTTTTTAGGGGCCCAATTGCCCCAAGATTAAGTTAATGGGATCACCTCCCATTTTCAACTTAATCATTGTGCTAACTACGATATTTTCTAAGACGTTTACTGCAACTTGCTCCGGTGCGTCAATCGCTTCTTCCAGCGAGCTTCCGGCGAACTTCCGTCGATCATCCGATGAACCCTCGGTGATGCTCCTGCGGACTTCCGGCAAACTCCTGGACTTGCGACGATCCACTTGGCGAGTTTCGACGAGCTTCTTTGGCAAGTTTATGGACTTCTCGGATTTGTTCCCGCAGAACCTCCGACGACTGTCCGAACTTCCGTCGAACTCTCGAACTCCCAACGTGATCATTGTCTTGACTCCGGCGCAACTCCTACTGCATGTCTTACTTTCATCGTAGTTAATCCTGCACATGTAAACAAAACTTCGATCGAGACAATTAATCCTAAGCAATTAACCAAGTTGTCCGGCATGTCATTGGTCCCTCAACGCTTCGTCCGATTCTTCGGCGCATCGTCCTTTCCTGCGGCCTATTGCCCAATCGGTCAGTTGGCTCCGCAACTCCGATATCCTTGGCACAATACCCGCTCTTCTTGGCCCGATGCCCGAGTCCACGGCCCGAAGCCTTCTGTCGATACTTCGACCGATCCACCGGCCCGACGTCCAATCTTCTGACATGTTCCTCCGGCACAACATGATTTTCCTGCTTTAATTGTCTTATCCTGATCGAGGCATCCTGCGTCACTCAAAACATAGATTAAATCATAAACATATATCAAGTAGTTTCATCATCAAAATACGAGATTCAACAATGAGAACTGTTAAAAGATTGCAATAGATCTCAGACATATCATATTTGAAGCAATAAGGTAAAGTTAAATAGTATTAAGCCAAAACTGAAGATGATGGAAAGAGGTGTTGTGACCTTCATTTTTTTGGGTGGCAAACTTAAGCATGTTGCCCTCTCAAATAAGGCATGAAATACTTCCTCATCACCCAAACGGATCTCCTGAAAAGAAAGCATGTTTATGAGGAATATGATCCTTCACTAGAAGCAGAAAATACAAGTCAAATAGAAGTCTTGAAAAGCTTAATAACTGGATCAAGATAAATGCTCCAAAGGTCAGTTCACTTGGGATACTCCCTCAATATAGATTCAAACATTGATTGGCCTCTATCTGGTATGCCTGATTTAAATTCTAGCAAAGCAGTCTGTGAAATGAACTTAGTATGCTTTTTATGTGGTAGACATGTAAGAGCCCAGTTTACTATTGACTGAATCCCATCCTGGTATTTCTTCAGGAAGTTCCAAACATAACGCAGCCAAACCTACATATCAAATGCTTTTAGATTTAATACACTCAGGATTAAAGGATACATAAATATACATAACTAACTTTGCATGAGTGCTTGAACTCTTTTGTCATGCTTGCAAGGAGTTCATCTGCCAGGTCTTGTTGTTCGTTCCTTTCATACACTCCTAGAAGAGCTAGATACAGCTTTTTTGGATCACAACATTGTAGTGCCCTTTGGAAAATCTTCTTTACAGCCTCCTGTACATGGCCCAGAATTAGCAAAAACAGCCAAAAAAAAGTTTTGATTATAGAAAATGAAATTTTGAAAGAAATATATTACCTCTGGTTGACTTCCATATTTGTTTTCTAGGTTAAAATATGCCACCCAAATGTTGAGTTTCTCTCCCTCCTCACAAATGTTTATTGTTCTCAAAGCCCTTACAAGAAGAAGAACATGAAAAAGTAATTGTCAAGAAGTAGAAAATATATATCACATATTTAATATGCTACGGAAGGGTGAGTTTTCATGTGACAGTCTCAGGTGTTTGTATAGATGAGAGGAAGTATCTAACCAATGATTTAAAAAACGTTAGGCACGAAGGTCCCAAAACACCCAAAGTGCTAGGCACTCGTCCAAGCGAAGCAAGACACTCTAAAATATTAAAATATAAAAAACCTATAATATAATTAATAAATAAAGATTACTTTGTACAATAGTTAATAATCTACTTTTAACAGTATATTATTTATTATTAACAACAGTTAGAAGGAAAGAATAGAACTATTAAAAGGGATAAAAAATGTCACCTAGTGAAACCAATAGTGAAAAGTTGGGAGAGAAGCAGTGGTGAGAAGCAATAGCAATGGATGATTAGTCTAAGACAGCTGCAGCAACAATGCGAATGACAACAGCGGCAGTGGACAGCAGCATCAGCGGACAACAGCGGCAGTGGACAGCAGCAGCAACAGACAACAGCGGAAGCAGTAGGAGAAAGACTCAGTCGGCGAAAGAGGAATACGCAGTTCGCTACTTTTACGATGGAGGTAGTGGCAAAAAGCGTTGGTGCCAAAGGCAATGGGAGAAAGTATCAGTGGCAAAGGCAACGGAAGAAAATGCATGCTAGGGTTGGCTCGGGGAGTCGGGGTCATGTGAAGCTTTTGAGATAAGGAACTGTGTGCGTTTGTTGGTTCAATCGAACCAATTAAATGCTATTGAACCGAGCACTCGCCCGAAGCACCCGACGCCTGGGCCCGAGCAAGCGCCTAGGTGGTGCCTCATTGAAGTGTGCCGCCTGGTCCTCATATGAGGCACTTGGGCTTCGCCTCGCCCGAGCGCTTAGGTGAGTACCCGAGCACCTATTTAAATCATTGTATCTAACTAAAGTAACACTAAATAGGCTTTAATATGCAATGTTATTTTCTTTTGCAATTTCAGGAGTGGTTAAAGATTTTACCAAAAATCATACCCACATTTACATTAGAGTAGCTACAATAAAGCCACAAAAGATAAAAGACCATGGTTTTTCATGAAACGTTCACTCAATGTCTCCATCAGCACTTCTTTATTGAACATAAAGAGAGCTATGGGGAATCATGAGAAAACCAAAACTGATAATCAACAATATAACTCAAAAAGATCTTATAATAAGGCATACCTTTCAGCAATAGAGCATGCTTTCTCAATATCTGCCAGAGAGGGTATATAAGCCATGTACTTTATCCAGACAAAACTACAATTAGGAGAGACCCTAACCAATTTCTCAATTTCATCTTCTGTTCTTGGCATGTCATCCTTCAGTAGCCTCTCTTCAGAAGCACTAATTTTTAGCTCCCTGCAAAATAAGAGGGAACATAAGCACCAGAAATTGATTGTCAGCATTGCACAATCTTAATGATAACATAACACATGAGCCACACACTTTTCCTCCTTGACCTTTTTCTTCATGTATCTGTTCCTTTTGGCAACCTCACAATTCTCATTAACATCATTGTGATTTGCAATTACAGAATTATCACCATCAGAGGATTCCAAATCATTAAGGATAACCTGAAGAGGAGGAACAGAAACCCTTGTTCCTGATTGAATGAGATTCTCACAGCCTCCATTATCATGCCCAGAAATCTTTTGAGAGTCAGGTAAGCTATCTTTATTATGCAAGCCAAGCAAGACATCTTCCATGGAAGAAGCAACATCATGATCATCACCGATATCACGTCCCATGTCAACATCATTGGCAATCCCAATATACGAGTTCTTCATTACAAGGGTCATTCTCTGTCTATCTACATCAATCTGATAGTCCAACATAATAAAATAATAAGTCAATATAGTGAAAAAAAAGAAAATATATCGGGCATCTTATATAAAGACTCTGATTAGAAGATTGGATTTACTGAAGAAGAGGATCATCCTACCAGAGAATTGATTACAATGAAAGGGGGAAAGCAACATATACTATACCTGTGTGCAGACCAAGCCTGCGCAGGCAATGTCTACCCAAGGCCACGCTTGTGCGTGGGAGGAGTTGGGACATAAATTAATCTCTTAAAATAAACAAGAGGTTTTCAATATCATCAAAAATTTTTAAATTAACAAAAGGGATCTAAAATCATTTTTTTAAGAAAAACATACAATTCAATAAACACAAAGTCATCAATCAAAATATTCAAATTAATCATGATTTCTCAAATAAAGGAGTCTATCAATTATTTCCCAAAGCAAGATAATAAAATATAAATAGAAGAAAGATTTCTCTTATTGAGCAACCATGTCATCAAATTGAATAGATTATTTTCTATATAAATCATAACTAAACAAAACAAGATATCAACATAAGACAGATCAAAATGTGAGAAAGGAAGATATCAACAAAAGATAGATCATTATATGAGAAAGAAAGGTATTAATGATATGTAGATTAAAATATGGGAAGACATCAACGAATGTAAGTGAAAAATCCTTAGATGCATGCCACCACCTTCTCTTCATTCCTTACCGCCAGTCTCCTCTCCTCAATGTCTTGAGAGGAGAGTGTGATAGGACATTTATAGAAGATGGACACCTACACTCCTTAGGCATCTAAAACTCTTCCAACTAGGAATCCCTGTTTCAATTAAATTACCACTCTTCCTTATGGACATCTAAGGTACTCTAGTCCTAATCTAATAAGGAAAATCTTCCAAGTCTCCAACTCTCATCTCCAATTAACCTTTAATCCTAATCCAATTAAGAGAACTTCCAGGCATTTAAGATTAAAATTACCAAAGCACCTTAAATTAGATGTAAATTATACTTCAATAGTAAATCCTACTAGCTTATGAGCTCACTATCTCAACCTCACTACCAGTTCTCAGTGACAATTCTATTATAGTGGACAAAAAATTCAAGCAATAGCACTCAACTACTGTTAATAGTGTGCTTCATGCTTCCATGTTAATGAATAATTCCAATAAGACTTCATGTCATGATACTCAACTACAACAGACCTGTTAGTCATGATATAAAATCCAAAACTACTTATTTCTCTCTATGACTATAGTCAGTTGTTTCAAGCATGGTGAAAGTAGTGGGAAAAGATGAATCATAGGAAAAGAGAGACAAAAGAAAATTGATACAATAAGAAGCATGGATCATTGTTATCAGTCAGAGAAATGATCAAATAAACAGCTGGAATTGAGGCTGAATCAATTAAAATATATAGTTATAGTTTCAATTTCAGCATTTTTTTTATGTTTCAATATGGCTACATTCATATCTATAAAGATTTCTGATGGCTGCCCGGGTGGCTGACACATGGTAAGGTAGGATTTAGACAAATGATAGTGCTATACAAGTTAAGACGACTCATTATCTTAAAATTCTGAGCCACCTAAAGTCCCCATAAAAAGTGACTAAAAAGTAGAACAGCAAAACCACAAATAAGTTTGACATTAATAAATTCTTTCTCTTGTCACAATCATCTCCTCATCTGCATCATTCTCTACTCGTCTCTCCAATTAATTTAAATTATAATTAGCTTTGTCCACATAGAATACAACCTGGATCTTACTGAAGGGGATATCTAAATATTGACCAAATTGCTAATAAGCTTGTGTCTCCTGTCCAACTCACCAACACCCTTGTGCTATTCTCAATTTTCCTATATTGACTTCATATCTGACTATCATTCTCATAAGCTACTTTAATATTTCTAATTTATTATGATCAGCTAGCCACCAGCTTTCTGAGATAGCAAAAGGTTTTTTTTTTTTTTTAATATTGCATCTATTGGTATACTAACCAAACTAATCCTAGGCCAACATTAGAAGTGATGATGATCATGAGCAAAAGGCATGAGCAAATAAGGTTTAATAAACAAGAGAACAAAGAGCAAGTCACATTCCACAAGTTTAAGCATAGGAACATTGGATGTTTTGGCACAAAGGAGATGAATTTACTTGGCTGAAACACACACCACAGTGCAGCTCACAAAACCCCAGAGAAAAGGGGAAATATTAATATTAAAACCTAAATGAAAGTTCACCGAGCATAATTATGTCAGTTTTGGGAACTGCGGCTACAATTTATAGAACAAAGAAGCTCAGTTCAATCAACAAGCGTTGAAACAACTACTACTGATAGGCTTGACTAGGAAAATCATGCCTATACACCAAAGAAAATGAAAGGCTCTGTGCATCAAACTGTTGGTTTAATGACACAATAGGACAGATAATTTCAAGCAAAACCTGTCCTTATAAACAGCAAATGAATAAATAATATATAAGTAAATAAAAGCATTTGGCAAAGAGACCATCTACAAACAATTTCGCCGCCAAAGGAAGCTGCCTTCATGGGTTCAACGAAAACTCATACCTTAAAGGGCACTCGGGATCAAACCTAACATCATTGCCGAAAAAAGAAGTCAAATCATCCTCAATATCCGCTGGCGGTCTCTTCGACCCCTTCTTCCCCGTCTTGGCCTTCTTCCTCGAATCCTTCTTCCCCCTTTCAAACACGTCTTCCGCTTCCATCCGAGCCCCTGCCTCCTCATTCGGACTCGGAACGACCCCTCCACCTACATCCACCAAAAAGACAACAAAGAAGTATTTTTAGCACGACGATCAGAGATTGGAGCCGAAATTGGCGAAAGACAAGATAAATAAACCTCTGGGGAAATCGGGGTCATCGGCTTCGACGTAAAGGGAGGTAGGCAATTCCATGGGAGCGGAAAGGCTGTTCTTTACCTATTCTATCGCCTTCTTGACTGGCATGTGAGGCCTGAGTCGGTCATCAGCACCCGGTCGCTCGACCTTCCTCTTCCTCTTCCTTCCCTCAGTGCCAACAGCCATCGTGGAGAAGCTGAAAGCCCAACAGCAATCATTGTCCGATGTCAGAAAATGCCTTGCTTTGTTTAAGGTATTTTCTTTGCCCCTCTTTCCTCGTCTTATGCTGAACTTGTGATACTGGGATACTTCAAATTCAATGGCTGGGAAACAAAGCAAGAAAAGATAGCCGGAGAAGAAGAAGAGAGAACGAGATCTCAGCCAATGCTTCTGCTTCGCCAAGACCTGCTCGTTTGAGGAGGCGATGCGGTTACGTGAGTGGGGCCAAAGGGTTTCAGATACCGATCGGGAAGAGTTCTCGAGTCGCTATCGATGTCGGCTAGACGTTTACTGAAAAAGCCCCTCAACAATTAAATAATATTATTTTACATGCTCATAGTAGGGATAATTTTCGGAAAACCCCCCAAACTTATGCCTTTTCGCGGAAAAAGTTCTCCTTTTCAATATTTTCACGATCATCACCAAAGTGCATCTCGATTTGCAAACCCTTTTCTCGTTTCCATCCTTCGTTTCACGACCGCTTCATGGATTTAGATGTAGAATTTGGTCCAGTTGGCTGTCGGTTCAATTCTTCCCATGCTTTGAACTGGTTCAAATCTTTCATCGAGTCCTAAACGTGTTAATCGTATAAAGATCTCGTCATGCAATATGCTCTATTTTCCCATTTCAGTATACTTCTGTAGCACATTTGGTTTATTCTTCCATACTCGTAGGAGTTGCTAGGACAAGAACAATATGAATACTTTCCTTTTGCAGCTTCTGCAGAACTTAGGGAGAACCAGAGGACAAGTCTGAGGTGCTATGTGAATTCGAAGTAGCATAAGAACGGCCACTGTGGTCGTGTGCTGCCTTCATTTCTTCGACCTTGAGGCAGGACCTTCTGAGTGCATAAGATGAGTAGTCTTTCCGATCGAATGACTTCACCATCAGAACAAACCTTTGCCACACCGAGGATCCGTCGGAGTCCGTGGAGGTGCTCAGCATGTGGCGGTGCTCGTACAAGAAGAAAGCCGAGAACAAGAAGAGTGCAAGAACGGAGGTGGTTCCTGTGATGAGGAAGAGACCCCAGAAGCAGTTGAATGTGAGGCTATCAGATGTTGCAGCTCCGTTTTGCTCTGGGCAAGTAGTTCTGTTCCTGTACAGCTTTTTCTCGACATCTGCAGTGACCTTCAGTATTGCCCTTGATATCTCTGGGACGAAAGGTGAACCTTTATGGAAGACCTGCGGAGAAGAACACCTTTAGAGAAGGCCTGCAGAGTTCAAGAAAGAATATGTTGTGTAGGGCTACATCTAAATATTTACGTTAAACTCAATATACCTATGGTGGATTTCTTCATCAATTAATTCGATTGTTTTACATCCAAAAAAGAAAGAAAGTAGTTTTGGATGTCATACGATTAACTTTGAACAAGACAAACGTTAAGAACTAACAAGACAGCAGAGACTAGTGATGCTTACGAAGCCAAACCCTTCAGTCCTGTAGATATTTCCCACCATGGTGTACTTGCCGCAGTACTTGGAAATGAAGACTTTGATGTAAGGGATCTCATCGATGATGGCGCCAACACCACCTTTGGCGCTGCCTTTGGACAGCGCATCGTCGTATTCATCAGGAGACTCGTACCTTCTGAGCTTTGACTTGTCAATGTTTAGCAGATGCAGCATCGAGGGGTCACCCATGTATCCAATATACTCCCCGTTCCTTATCAGATCATGCAGGTTGGTAACAGTTGGGTGAAGTTGCTGAACTGTGAGCATTGAGGTTAAGCTGGCTGTGTAACTTGATGTGAGTATGAGCACCACGAAGACCCAGATGATCACTACGACCCTTGTGAGGTTACTCGTCACCTTCTCCTCTGTGATGCAACTAAGCGAAGTGAGATCGACACTTGACTGAGTTACTGGAGCTGAGGCGGAAAGGAAGATAAGAAGAACGCGTACGTAACTGTGAGCAAAGACCAATGTGGAGAAGGAGAAGTAGAAGATGGTGCCCAGCTGATGCAGAGGTGGGCCTCGGAAGCTGTCGTTGACGCGGTGCTCCAGCACCCAGACGACGAGGCCGGTGAAGATAAAGAAGGCACCGATGGCCAACCAGAGCTCAGTGGTGAGCGGCTTCAAGAAGATCCACGCGCTCCTCCCGCGGTCGTCCTTGACGGGCACCACCATCGACATCCCCACCTCAGTGAAGGGTACTGAGAAGTCCACGTACAAAGACCGGTTGGGTGTGATGGTCACATCTCCCACCACTGCATCAAAGTTCTGAGTTCCTTCTTCCTCGTTAGATGTCTAGCCAAAGTAGATTCTAATGAATCGTAAAAGGCATGCATACGCTTAAAATCAAATGAATCAACCAACCTGCAAGTAAACCTCGTAAACAAGATCACTGTAGCTGCCCTTCATCTCCCCGTTGTTGTCCTCATAGGGAATGTACTCGTAAGGCACATCGTAAGGCAGCGACGCCATGACCAGATCAAACACCTCGATACAAAAGCCGCTCACGTTCCTACGCGTCAGAGGGTTCCACTCCCTGTTCACAAACTCACTGAAGCCTTTCTTCAATGGCACCCCGATCCTGAGCTTCTTCCCTCCCGTTTCCCAGTCTATCCCTTTGGGAGCCGCCAAAGCGTTTCCAGGCCACACCACGCTCTCGAGGTTCGCCTTAGAGTTCAAATCACCCGACACCCCATGCTCTGTCGTCCAGAAGCCGACCCTCTTTGTGGCGCTTCCCACGACATTGATAATCTCAAACGGCGATGATTCCAGCTGCCCATCCTTGAGCTCGAATTTTCCACTAATTCCGTCGAACTTAACGCCCTGCATCGACTCGAGCAATCTGTGGCCATTAGGCGAGAATTCGAGCTTCTTCAGCTCCGTCAGAGACGAGTTTTTAGCCGCGGTGTTGAGATAAGGGGATGGAGAAGTACTTGGAGTTCTACTTGCCAAAGCAACACTCTCTGCTGCCAATGCCATGGCCCAGGCAGTGTCATATGCCCACAGTGCGTAGACACTTGGATGCTGGACTGGTTTGTCAGTGGGGTGATCTCGTCGAAGTCTCTCGCTCCATCTCGTGCTGAATTCGCCATTCCGAGCAGAGCCCATAACGTAGGGCTTCACGGTCAGGACTCCGTGCATTGCGTCGATGGCGGAGGCATCCAAGACGCCGAAACGGTCAGTTAGGCCGTAGGTCACGATCCATGCATAGCCTTCTTGCATCATGTCGGCCTCCCTCGCCTTCAGGAGGAGGCGCGTGGTGAGTGCGTCTGAGGCGTGTACCACGAAAACTCTAGTCCCCATAGTCTTGAGGCTGTAGAGCTCGCGGAGGATCTGGTCGTCGTTGGCCATGAGGGGGACCATGGAACGATAGGGGACGCGCTCATCGGTAGCCTGGAAAGCGTCGACGAGGTACGGGATCATTCCGGTGCCGTAGTCGGTGTCTTCGAAGATAGGGATCAGCTGGCGCCAGCCGAAGAAGCGGACGAGCGCGGCGATGGCCTGGGCTTGGCTGGAGTCGCTGAGGGCGGTGCGGACGAAGTAGGGGGTGCGAGACGAGGCGAGGAATGGGGAGGTGGCGGAGAAGGAGATGATCGGAGTCTGCGACTTGTTACCAAGCTCGGCCACGAATTTGGCCTGGACTGATGTCTGCGGACCGATGATAGCTTGAACTTTGTCATTCCATAGTAGCTCTACCGCTGATCTCAGTATGGAGTGGACGAACATGTAAGAAAATTGTTGTTGTTTCAGTTAATATGTAGATAAGACGAACTATGACGAAAAACGTAATGTTGCTTTTGTAGATGATGATGCATGTAAAGGTTGAAGTACATTAAAGTTAAAAGTACTGCAACGAATTAAACGTAATGTTGCTTTTGCAGAAGATGATGCATGCAAAGGTTGAAGTACACTGAAGTTAAAGGACTGCAACGAATTGTGAGCCAGTGAAAGTAGGGATGAACAACAGTACCAGCAGCTGCAGCAGACACAACATCTTCTTTGGAGTCCTTGCCGATGAGGGCTACTCTGGTGGTGTAGTTAGGATGCGTCGAGTAGAAATCATCCATGGCCATGGACATGCAGGCCCAGCTGACGTTTCCCACCCATGTTTCATTATCCAGTATCACCCCAACACGAAATGCCAGTGTGGTCCTGTTCTCCTTCCCATCGGCCATAGCACCATAGCTCAGTGCCAGAAGCAGCAAGGAACAAAAGAAGAAGAAGAAGAAGACAGGCCGACTGATAACACCCCTCATCTCGAGGACTCCTTGCACTTAGATGTGGTACTGTCTTCTGTCTGCGGCACAGCTTATATCGTGCCTTTGCCATTGCCATGGCCAAAGTAAACGTCAACGGTCAAGAAAAAAAAAAGAAAAGGGAAGGATAGAGGATTAAAGAAATGTGCTTTCTGGTGGGGAAGATAATGTTGTCGTGCTAATGTGCTCGTTGACCTGAGTCGAAGAAATGGGAAGTCTTCGCCCAGTGGGCACTGGATGACGAGGGTTAGGCATTCCCATCTTTCACTGTAGAGGACTCCACACTTGCAGCAAATGACATCTTCGACCGGTGTTGTCCGGTACGAGTCGCGATCGACGGCAGGAATCCGCACGTGATAAAAGCCCACGAGGCACTTTAACATTCGTGATTAAAAGAACAAAAAAAGAGATTTTTAGTGCAGTGAGGATATTTATTGCTGCCTCTATTTCAAACGTCAGGAAGTTGGATGTGTAGGGTTGTGAGTTGGGACGGTAGTATCCCACTTTCCTAGCTTTATGCCAAGGGAAAGCGAGTCAACTCAAATGGATCTTCCAATTCACTAGTGATAGAGATGGTTTCTATGGATGCATCTTAGATAGACATGTCAACTTTGAATTAGGTAGATTGATAGGTTCAACCAGAACAAATAATATCTCACGTATCGTTATCGTTGAATTATGTAATTAGTAGGCTAATTGTAGTGAGGGCCACTAAAAATAATCTTACAATGCATTTAAAAATTTTACCATCTCACTAATAACAATTGTCAAATTATTGAAGACATTCTCATCAATAAAGACGATGTTCGACTTAACCACAACAAATTTTGAACATATAAGGACATGCCACAACTTGAATTAGTAGGTTGAATCGGATCGGATTGATAGGTTCAACTAGAACAAACAGTATCCCATGTGTTGTCCTTCAATTATGTGATTAGTAGACTGATTGTGGTGAGGGCCACTACAAGTAGCCTTGCAATGCATGTAGAAATTTTATCATCTCATTGATAACAATGATCAAATTATTTAAGACATTCTCATCAATAAAAACGACGTTTGTGACTTGACCATAAAAAATTTTGAACATATAAAGGTGTGACACAACTTGAATTAGTCAATCGAATCCCACCGGAACAAATAGTATCCCACACGCTGTTGTCTTGGAATTGTGTGATTAGTAGGCTAACTGTGGTGAGAGCCACTACAAGTAGCCTTGCAATGCATATAGAAATTTTATCATCTCACCAATAACAATGATCAAATTATTGATCACATTCTCATCAATAAAGACGATGTTTGTGACTTGACCACAACAAAATTTGAACATATAAGAGTATGTCACAACTTAAATTTGTAGGCCGGATCGGATTGATTGGTTCAATCAAAATAAACAGTATCCCATATGTTGTTATCCTTGAATTGTGTAATTAGTAGGCTAATTGTGGTGACGCTCACAAGTAGCCTTGTAATGCATATACAAATTTTGCTATCTCACTAATAACAATGGTCAAATTATTGAAGACATTCTCGTCAATAAAGACGACGTTCGTGACTTAACCACAACAAATTTTGAACATATAAGTGCAAGCCAAAACTTGAATTCGTAGGTCAAATCGGATCAGATTTATAGGTTCGACCGGAACAAAGAATATCCCACTTGTTGTTATCCTTGAATTATGTGATTAGTAGGCTAATTGTGATGAGGGCCACTACAAGTAGCCTTACAATGCATGTAGAAATTTTGTCATCTCACTAATAACAA